CCGAAATTTCTACAAATCTAAGAAGTTGGTTAAATTTTGTCTTGGCAGAAACTCAAGTTAGTATAAATCTGGGAAACTTATTTCTCTAGCGGAGACGCTGCCCAGATTTTTACCAATTCATGGAGTTCGACAGAATTCGACTTTCCAGAGTTAAAAATCATTTCTGTTTTCATATTTGAGCTAGTATAAATTATGAAAAAACATTTTTTCTGCGTGAAGCTTTGCCGAAATTTTCTTAGTTTAGAGGAGTTAGGTAATATTTTGACAGGTGGCGATGTTGGCAATCCACCCTGAATAGGGGAGATTTGACCATGGGTCTATTCTTTTTTTTTGGCAGACTTAGAGGTAGAGTTAGACCTAGCTATCAAGAGAAGTTTTGAGTGAGAATGTGTTATGGGGATTTACTCTCCGTACACTTATCAGTTTAGTTTGGGCATTGACCTGTCTTGTGTTACAGGTTCTTCTGATCGTTTGATTCAGGATCAGGACAAGTTTCAGAAGATCCCACGAGGATCATCTTCTGTTATCACTAATAACAGGTCGGTTGGTTGATCGTCGACTTGTCGGCTCACAACACAACTTTGCTTATACCTGTACCTCAGCTTGATGCCTTAGCCCTGAGATTTGATATGTTTCTTTGAGGATTTTAACCGAACTTCTTTTAATGACCATTATAAAGAAATTATGAGATTTTATGGAATGTTCGACTATGCTTGAGCCTTGAGTGAGTGAGGCGTGGTGTGAGTTACAGGGAACGATAAGGTTGACCACATTGGTGTATGGCAATGTGGTTGTTGTATGTGGCTGTGTTTTACGCAGGTGAGTGTTTTTGGAACCTTTGTACGAGCCTTACCTTGGAGATAGTGAGAATGACAACCATGTATCGCACAATCGACATACCTGATGGGTTTATCTCCCTTTCTTTTTGTTTTATCTCGAGTTATGATTTTATATATAAGTATTGGATGTTTATTTATTGAGTGATTTTATTTTTTTATACTTTTTATGGTTGGACGTTGTAGACCGTGGCAGTCGTAAAAGTCAAACCCCTTAACTTCTCTCTAGGCCTTGGCTGATGGAGCTGGTCTCGAGGACCATAAGAGACAACTGCCACCATAGGTATAAATATGTGTACCACCCACTCTTCGAAGGGTGCAAAAGAAGGTGTGGTCTTCAACCACACTTAGCAGTTGTCTAGCATCGAGAGATTAACCCCTCAAGGCGTGTATCAGCCGACACTTGAGTGTCGAAAGTGGCCCCCGATTATTATCAAGGACCTCATGATTATGAGTATTACATAGTACTCCATCATCGCGACTACTTGCGTACGTTTGCATTGATAGCCGACATGAGAAGGCCCTACGACCGCGCGGTTTTATATTAAATCTCGCATGCGTCGCTTATTCGATTTTCACATTGAAAAGTTATGGGTCGGATACTAAAGGGACTAGGAGTGTGTTGCTTTTTCTTCGTTTATGTATGTGTGTGTGTGAGTTATTTAAAATTTGCTTTAGCGTGGTGTAGCGCGCGATGAGTGAGATGTGTCTTAGTCGACCGACGACGAGTCATGCTTGGGACATCAGCCCCCCAATGCGCCGGTTCACGTACGGGTTCAATAGAGGCGTGGTACCTCGTGTACCCCCTATGCTACAACGAACGAGAAACGCCCTCGGCTAGCCCACCTCTGCGATTGCAGCTGATTCGCTATCGTATTGTGGACTGGTAGCTCGGCGGGGATACGCCCGTCGAAGGGAGGTGACAGCTCCCGCAAGGTGGAGGTAAGTCGTGCCTCGCGTAGGCCCTATCCTTTCCTAAGGGCTTGCGAGAGGTGTGGCTGGCGCACTCAGCTGGAGCGGCTTGCAGAAGCTCCATGTGTATTTTCGCGGAAGGTGTAGACCAACTCCTGCGTGACGTGGCCGGGAGGGTCTCGCGCTGCCCGGTGCAGTGCCGGACCGATGCGCTCGACATCGGAGTCAAAATCCGGAAAGTATAATTATAGGCAGTTTCGTGATCTGGCTCTCCAGCGAGAGCAAATGACTTCACAAGTAAAAAGTTTGTATGCCTCTGGAGTAAAGTATGGCGGTGAGGAGGTGCAGGTGTGGGCAAGCGGGTAATCTGGCGTCAAAAGCGTGAGGACCGCATCCTCGTCGTCTTTTATGACGACACTTTATAAAAGTTGCCAAGGGAGGATGAGGGTGTGGGTAGCAGTAGTGATTCAGGGAAGGGAGAAGTCACTGCTACTTTGGTCAACAAGGGAGGACTACGACCACCAGGAAAGAAGAAGAAGCAACGCTCGTTTCCCGAGCATCCCGGAATTGCGGCAGGGAAGCTATGGGAAAAGATGGGAGTCTCTCAAGAATTGTGGCAAGAACGAATGAACAACGCGCAATGTCTAAAGCGTGGTACCGCCAAGCATGTGATGGCATGGTGCCCACTTATTCAGAACCCAAAAACAAGCAGCCAGTAGAAGTAGCATCTGCTCCTACCAAGTTAAATGGTTTGGATTAAGAAGGTAAGGCGTTTGCGATCCCTTCCAACCCTTTGACTCCCACGAAAGAGGATGGTTCTTCTTCGGCCCGTCGTCCAGAACAACCTGAACCTGTCTTATGCACTGTCTTTCTAGACGACCCTCTTGACGCACTTGGTAACGAGTTGCTAGCATTACGAAGCTCGTGGGCTAAGAAATCAAAGGCTATGTGTGACCTACTACTCGCGGGCGTAGAGATTGCACATACCCGCGTAGGAGCTCTGTTGGACTCAGAATCCATGCGATTCTACATATCTAAAAAAACAATCCACAAGTTGCATATCGGAATGAAGGTAAAGGACTTGTCTAGACCTATCACGTCTATTTTAGCCGACACACACACGATGACTATCTCACAGTGTGTTGATCGTGTTAAGTGCTATTTCCAAACCAAGGAAGGTATTCTGCATATAGTATCCTTCCTTACAGAAAAGAACTCTAGACCTATCACGTCTATTTTAGCCGACACACACACAATCACTATCTTGCAATGTGTGGATCGTGTTAAGTGTTATTTCCGAACCAAGGAAGGTATGAAGATTCTGCACGAAGTATCCTTCCTTACAGAAAAGAACTTACCCTTTGATTTGATTCTGGTAATGGACTGGCACGAGGAAGTCAACCCAGAAATCAAGTTCAAAGAAAAGAAAGTGCAACCGAGGGATGCAACTTCTGAATTGAAACCTACCAAGCTGTATCATAAGTCTGACTCTGACTCTAGTCTATCTTCATGTTGTATGAGTTAACCAGCATTTCGATCGATGGTTTCAAAGAAAACGTTGGAACAGGAAGTAATGATGTTCTTAGTAAAAACAGCAGGTGAGTCTTCTACTTTCTATCCTCCTTCGACCGAAAAACTCCTAAGTGAGTATAAAAATTTATTCAATGCTATGTTGCACACTCGGCCGCGGCCGGGGGGTCCAAATCAGCCGCAGCCTAGGCCGATGACCGAATCGGCCCGGTTCGGCCTAGGCCGACCAGCCGAGTGTGGTACATGATTTTCCCCCCCCAATTTTCACGTCTAAAAAAATATATATATATATATGGGCGTGTAGGGCTGAAAAAGCCCTACACGCCCATATTTGTTTTTTGGTTGTTGGGCCTTCCGCGCGCCGCAGGAAAAAAAATAAGCGAAAAAAAAAACAAAAAAACAAAAAAAAGGGCCCGGTGGGCCGTTTTGGCCCTGTTTCGGTGCCAGCGGGTGAGGGGCACCGTGCGGGCAGTGTGAGGAGGGCGGTGGGTCCAGGCCTAGGCCACAGCAAAACTGTTGCCGTTTCAGATAAATGCTGCCATTAAAAACGGCAACAGTTATTGCTGTTGTCGTTCTGCTGCCGAATTGCCTGCTCGCACGCAGAGAGAGAGAGAGAGAGAGAGAGAGAGAGAGAGAGAGAGAGAGAGAGAGAGAGAGAGAGAGAGAGAGAGAGAGAGAGAGAGAGAGAG